CATATTTCTTTGATTTAGGTTTACTCAACGGAACATACTGAGAATATACCCAAAAGGTACACGCTTCAACTCTTCCAATTACAATCCCCTAGTTGGGTGGATGCATGGAGCTCAGATGGTTGCCTTCAACATGCAGGTTATATTGACATCCTGTATATATAGTTTTTTTTTTTCCTTGAATTTTCTCATACTTTCAAGTAGTAGCTGTGCAACAAACCTTTATGAATTTGAATAGTACGCAAGAAACTACTGCAGGATAAGGAACTTAAAAAGTGCAGTGTGAGAGAGTATTACCCTAATTGGTATATAATATTGATTCGGACAAGTGAAAACTCATTATTTCATATTTCAAATACGAAATGTTCGTGCCGAAATGTCAGGGATCGATGAAATGGTAGTGTTTATGTCACGCAAAAATAAATTTGGAAACTATGTCTGTCATATTTCGGAGAAACAGCGAATTTTTATTAAATATTTTGAGGCTACTTTTGTCTCTACAATAGTGTTAAACAAGCCGTTTTCTAAAGTTATTTGTCATGTCCGAGGAATTTATTTTCTACACGACCTGTCACTTGTCAACATAATTTTCTTTAGGCAATTCCAAAATTTTGCAGTTTCACCAAGACTTGAGAGTTTGTTCAATCACTTTGTTTTGTGTTTTTTCTTTATAACAAAATGGACCTGGAGTTCATATTTTCTTTCTCAATTGATACACATTATCTCTTTTCTGCTATCATTTCCTTTGTCATTTCTGTGATAAGAGATTACACATCATAATTTCCCATGATAACGTATAAAGTAAAAATTCTGGAACAGGGTTATGGAAGATCACTTTGGTTGATGCACGGAATGTTTCGGGCCAATGGTGGTTGTGGATATGTTAAAAAGCCTGAATTTTTGTTGAAGGCTGGTCCTCATAATGAGGTCTTTGATCCTAAAGTCAAACTCCCTGTCAAAACTACTTTGAGGGTAAGTCGAAAATCACTGGGCTGTTAACATTCAGTATTCACTAAAGACATTATTGTGAAGATGCCGTTATGTTGACTAGCTCATTTCCATACTTTGCTTCACTGTTTGACCATTTCAAATTTCCCTTGCCATTGAACAGGTAACTGTTTATATGGGTGATGGATGGTATTATGAATTTCGTCATACGCACTTCGATAAGTATTCTCCTCCAGATTTTTATACTCGGGTAAAGTAGATGGTTAATCATCTTATTGTTCCTTCCATTCCAAGCTTAAAAGTCTTTAATAGTCAAAATCAATTTTCAGTTCATTATTTTAGATCCTGTAATGCTTTTAGACGTGTTGACATAGTATAAGTTCTCTAAACGAGAGGCATCTAGGTTAACGAGTGGCTCCATTTTTCTTCGCACAGGTAGGAATTGCTGGAGTGCCTGCTGATACTATCATGAAGAAAACAAAGATAATAGAGGATAATTGGATACCAACTTGGGATGAGACGTTTGAATTCCCATTAACGGTTCCTGAACTAGCACTGCTTCGTATTGAAGTTCACGAATATGACATGTCTGAGAAGGATGACTTTGCAGGGCAAACCTGCCTACCAGTTGTTGAACTGAGAAAAGGTTTTAGAGCAGTTCCACTACATTCTCGGAAGGGGGAAAAGTACCCATCAACGAAGCTTCTTATGCGATTTGAATTTGTTTGATCTATTTTTGAGACATATGGGTTCTTTTGTGATATAACTTTACAGTGTCCACATATACAGGATCATCATGTTGTGTAGTTCGATCCATTTTAGACTAATATTATATGGATACTTGTGTGAGATTAATTAAGAATGTGCTTATATATATGATCATGTTGTTGTGTAGTTCATTATACTGCGAATGACAAGGTTTGAACACAAAATCTCTGGTTGATTGATAGCTTTTGCCCGAGGTGTCATTGTTTGTCACGGTATTAAATTAACAGCAATTCCCCTTGTACAGAGGAATTGTCGATAGAATTTTTCCAGATGCTTCGGTTTGGTCTGTTTTTTTTCTTTTTTCTTTTTTTGCCATTGTCCAAAATAAAATCATCAAGTGTGTTCTGTAACAATTCTGATAGCACTTTTTCTTTACAAGGATAAAACTTCTTTGCCAGAATGATTTGATAAAAAGCTTGACATAATTGTATGTGGCAATTAATTATTGGATGAAGAAGTTGAATGTGCTTTAAATAGTCCAATGTTAGAATGCGACATTGCATTATGTCAAATTTTATGTCAACCTTGATGTTAATGTAGTATGATTGTTTTGTACAAATAGTTGAACTCTTAAATTAAGTATTAATACATAAAGGTATCCAATAGGAAATTTGATATATAATTATAAATCATAAATTATTTAGTATTTAGTATCAAAAAGAAAAAGATATAGTTTAGTGATTCAAATAATTAAATAGTAACTTTCGACCCATATACATGTTTGGATGGAATAATCAAGTAGGTCATTAATATATTTCGGAACAAAAGGTGCATCTTATTGCCTTGTTATACAAATAATTTTAATAAATTGCTATAGATAAATAATATAAATTTTGATGTGCAGCAAAAAATTAAGTGATGTGCACAAAAGTTGTAGCCCGATCTCGAGCCTTCATGCACAGCTTGAGGTGTTTACCCTGAGCATACATTTTTCCCAAAACCCTCATAAATTTGGTTGGGCTGGTATGATCGAGCCCTATTAAGGTCGGGCCCACATAATCAAAATATTGTCGTTCATGCCCTTGTCTCATACCTTTTACATGTTTTAGTCCTTCCATGACTCAAATGTTCTACATTCATCCTTATCCAAATATCTAACTCATTGCAGTCTAGTCGAACTTCAAGAGGTAATTGTAGTCTAACTCAATCACTCTATGTGATAAGGATAAGGACTATTGGTGGTTAAATACTATTATAACTCTACCACCAACATCTATAAATATAGGGTCAAGGCTCATTATACAGGTACGTTTTTCATTATTTTCAATTCATAGCCTTACACACTAAATTTCCTATTTGACTTAAGCATCGGAGAGGCAACGAGCACACACCTCGTTGCCTTTGTTTCAGGTATCAGAAGACCGTTCGTGTTCACCGAAATTTAGAGTTCAAAGATTCAATTCGAGATCTAACAGGTACAATTTTTTGATAGCTTCATTAAGGAAAATGCTACTTTACATAATATGGTGTTCATTCCTCTCGTGCTCTCACACGAAGGGAGATCCACTGCAGATAAATTATATTTTATTCGAAATGAGTCCCACTCCATGTGAGGGGGTGAGCACTAGAATAAACACCATAATGTACATATAGCATCACCCAAAAACTAATGTCAATGACAAGTCCAAAAAAACATTGATACGAAGCAAATCAGCGAAAGAAAATCACAATGGAATGGTGAGAAGTGAGCTTGATTAACAAACTCAAATGCATAATTGAATGGAAAGGTAATTTGTAGAACTTTATAAATATCTATTTTTCATTATTATTTAAAAAACAAAAACAGCGAAACCCTAGATTTTGCTTAAATGGTAAAATCTTATGAAGAAAGCCTAACGACTAAAACTGGCAAAATAACTTTATTAAAGTCTTTAATTGAAATGTAATTATATTAACACCACTTTTTTTTTTCAACAAATTTTTATTAAAATTAAAGTAATCAATCGTTGCACTTACGCCCCCAAATTTTTTTCTTTGCATTCTTGTAGTCAACTTTGCATTACTTAGGCATCTTGTTTTTGGTGTATTTTTCGGCCAAAAGAATCTATTTCGGTGTAAAAAAGACTTATTGTCTATCATAGTTTTAAATAAGAAAAAAAAACAAATAAGATAAGTTAGACAAAATATTTTTTCTTCATTTCGAAGCATGTCAACAAAATATTTAGACAAAAGACCATCGCCATAGATAAATGATCTGTTCAGTAATGATTATGAGAATTGATTTTTTGACCTTTACAGAGAAAAGTATATCTTGCTTGTGAGAGAAGAGGTCAAAAATAACGATTGGAATAGTGAAATTACTGTCAAAAAAATGATTTTTTTGGATGAAAAATTGCTACCAAACAAAGGCAACATGTGTTAATTAATAGAAAGTTAAGGATATATGGGGAAAAAAGTTTGGTCTATAAGTGCAAAATGAGGAAAGATTGGAGACTTTTATTACAAATAAAATGTGAAGTAGTTAACAAAAATTGTACTGTGAGTACAATTATCTTAATTAAAAAAAAAAAAAAAAGAAAGAGTGAAAAAATAAGTGAAATAAATATTTGATGTTTGCGTCCATCATATTTGTTGAGTCCCCTCATGGACAAACTTGAGACAATTTCATTTAGGATCTGTTTGATTGCAAAGATAAAATTTAGGTTGAAAGAAAACGAATTTTAGAAAATTCAATTGCATAGAAATTGTTTTACTAGGAATTGTCAATTATTGTGTTTGATTTGTATAATTTTTCACGTGAAAAATGTTAAAATAAAAGTTTTTTTTTTCATTTGACTTTATTTTACATGAAAATTATCAATTAAAGGAATAAAATTTACTGACATTGGGGATAGAATTTGTTTCCATTGCCAAAACAAAAATTATATATCTTTTGGTGCTTGTTTGACTTTGTTTTACATAAAAATTGTCAATTAAAGGAAAAATATTTTTTATAATTATGATAGAATTTGTTTCCATTGCAAAAAAAATAAAAAATTTTAAAAAAAAAATTGGCCAACAGCCTGGAAAATGAATTCTCACCATCAATTTGGTGGGAAATGGCTGAAGTGGCATGAAAGTTGAAAAATGAATTGCCTAGAAAAAAACCTATTAAACATATATTTTTGGTTTATGGTGGAAATCAATTTCCATTTTCCATGGAAAAGGGGCTTATAAAACAACCCCTTATTGCCTTAATATTTTGCTCTTATTTATTCCCAAAAAAAAAAAAAATAATAATAATAATAAATTGTTTGATAAACTCGCTCTCTAATCACAAGCATGCCCATAAAAGGTGAATCACACAGTTATAAAATGAAGTAAATTCCATTCATAGAGCCAATGCAATTCCATATAATATTATATCTTCATTTTCTCCCACCTATAGCATTTTAGACACAAGGAATCCCATGAAACGACGATTGAACGAGTCTAGTCCCATTGAATTTCTCTGTGAAAAGTCCATTCAGACGGATTCAAGGTGGTTTTTCCATCAGAAGCAACTAGATCACAGGGAGAATCCTCTGCAAATTCAGTGGGAATGGATTTCCAGTGGAGTGATGGCTCCCATTCAGCTTCCTTCAGCACCTTGAGTATTTCTTCTACAACTATCTTACTGCCCTCAGCAGCTAAGTGAACTCCATCTCTGTAGAAGAGAAACAATGATGATTAGGAGGCAACAAAGAGGCAGACAGTGACTACTTTTTTCGAAAAGTAAGTAAAGTAGTAAATCTTTGAACTAAAGATCTCCCACAAAAGTAACTTATGAACAAGCCCAAACATCTTCGGCAAAAATGTAACCTAGTAACTTTTAAGTTTGGATATATATTTTGCTAAGCTTTAAAGTTACTTTCAAGTACTTTTACCTTTTCTTTCAGGCTTAGCAAACCAAAATCCTGACAAGCTTGTTAAGTTAGAATTTTCAGAAACAGAACTTCTGACAAAGTGCCGAGAGTTTAATTTAAATGATGCCGCATGGACTGAGGTAGTTGCAAAACATTTTATTTCTTAACAGTGGATTGAACGGAGTGACAAGAAAGGGATTTGGGTATGCGAACCCCAAGTTTATTCGGAGCAAAGATAAGTTATTTGTTTCTTGTATTAGAGATAGAGGAGGAGTGATCTTCGGTTTCCCATTTCAACACCATTGCTGTTAACATCTTTTTGGACAGAATGAATATTCATTAACATAAAATATCAATTTGATGAATGCAAAAATACACACGGTATTGTACTTACGTAAAGCAAGCAGTTAACCAATCTTCTCGTTTCTGAATTGCAGTCCAAAGATCAACAACCTTTATATGCATCTCCTTGCTCAACTCTATACAAGCTTCTGAATAATTCCGGCATAATTCATTTGTTCGAACTAGCTCGCTGAGGTATGGACTGTTTTGGAAACAAAAGATATTGCGATCCAATTTAGTCATGAATAAAAGAAATAAATGCCACTATTATAAGAATTTTTTATTTTATCGGTACCAGATATAGGAAGGCCTGCTATGTCGTAGTCATAATAGTACCTTCTGTTTTCATGAAGTTTAGCCTCGTTGACAGGTGGACAACTGAGAAAGATTATGCGAGTTGTGTCCGATAGGCTCTGAAATTCAGGTGTAGTGTTAGAATTTATATGAGAATTCATACGACTTCTAACCGGACAAGGAAAATACGGACCAGCCTAGTTAGCATAAGCATTTTCTTTCAGAGGACAAGTCTATCAGAGAAGAAAGTAATGTACGATTTTAAGCATCTGTTTTCATCACCATATTTATTGTAACAAGAAGTATAATATTAACACTACTCAGTTTGTTATATTCTCCTCGAATATCTCGCACCTTCAACACAAACAGAATGTTGAAGACTAGATTTTAACAAATAAATATGTCCCATCTCTAAGAATTTAAGCTTTTAGATGAGGTAAGCTTTGATGAGGTGATTCAACACGCAATCACAATCATCTAAAACATGTCACTATTTTCCAAAAAACTTTTGACTTGATGAAAATGTCCTAAACTGAATAAGTTTTACGCGATAATGTATCAGAACTAGATATGTTGCCACAACACCTTGTAACCTGGGCAGCTGGACCTATAAGTCACAACTCAAAAGTTCATTTAATACTACTTCACAGACTTTCACATCATAAGTTACCTTGAGATGGGTTGCTATTTTTCTCATGTTTTCAATATACTCCGGAAGTGGTACGTGAGGACCTAGTCCAGATGAGTGAGGTCCCATAGAATCATTACCTCCAAAATATACGATCACCAATGAAGGCTGAATAGCAGCATCCTGAGAAAGAAAAACGCCGTTTTTAGTATCAAAGCATAGCTAATGGTCATAAAGATATCTGATATTATTGTGTTTTTAGGACATCTAAAAGGGATGTCAAAGAAGGATTAATAATATTTTGACGATTATAGAAACTCAACACTCTAAAAAGGATTTTACTAAAACAATACGTGTTTTGTACTCTGGGAAATCTTCATCATCTGTATTTTTTCTGTTCATATCTTTGAACTAGTACTAGTTATTGGTAGCATGCCATGAAGTACCTTAGGAAAAATTTGATCAAGGACTTGGATAGCTCGTCGAGAATTCCAACCATAGTAGCCGCGTGATATTACATCAGCCTACATGGGTAAATGGAGAAGCTAATGATGCATAAAAATGCGTTAAAACTGCTTCATTATTCTACATCTAAAAATATGTGGGATCCGAAAATTTTGGATCCACATCTGTTATGTAATTATTAAGCCTTCATCAGGGAAGAATTCATGAACGATTTAAGTTATAATATAGATAAAATGAGTGGTGGATAAGTAAATAGTACTTGTTAGTCCATTGGAACGTATGGCTGAAAATGAAGTTTGATCATTTGTGAAAGATTTATAAATTTTGCCAAACAAAGGCTAAGGTAAAAATTTCTTTGAGAGCTTTGTGAGAACTAAATCAGTGTAATTTTTGTGTAACAACGAAAATATGCCGAACACCAGAAATGGAGATAGAATTTGGGTGCAATTACTAATTTTTTGTGCAAGAACTGAAAGATAAGTTTGGTTTTCTTTATCATCACTAGTACGAGTGACATAAATTATAGTCTTTGATTCTGAAAGTGCTGTGAATGTAAACAACAGTCTATCATTTGTAACATAAAACGTCATAACTAACGTCTTTGAGGCTATTGGAGCAACCTGTATATACTCAGTACCACTACACATCTTGTCAAATCAAGAAATAGGAGTTTTCAGGTTTCATAGTTACCACTTCACAATGGCTTTTCTGTTTCAATAAATTGAGAGCATTGTTGAACCACCTCATCTAAATCCTTAAATAGTGATAATGGGTTAAAATTATTCGTTAATAGTTTGTATTTAATAAGCCCTTTGTGTAGCCATATTCATTTATTTATTTTAATTAAATGTCTTGATACGTGCACAATTTTTATAAATGGGTGGCAATAAACTAGAACCCAGATACGTTAGGTTCAAGTTTGGCCATCATCTATCTATAAAAATTGTGCACGTGTAACACCTTTAACCGGATGCCAAGGAGAGCGTCGAAGACTAAATTTTAATAAATGAATATGCCCCCTTCTCTCCCTAACAAGCATTGACAAATCATGACGCGATACCAGGGAGATTGGTGATGCAGAACATGGTTAAGTCAAAACATAATTGTATAGATTTGCAAGAAATTTAATTATTAGAAAATCGGCCAACATTCCCATAGAGCAACAATAAATAAAATAAAATAAAAATGCAATAAAGATCCCTATTCTTTTAGAAACCAGAGAGATGGACGAGACAAATAAACAAATACCAGGCAGTAACACCCTACATATCATCATATAAATCTTTGCTCACCTAATCACAACTAGATTACACGAAACGTAATATGAAATTCAAGTACAGATGCACATAATTACCATCGTCGAATCCAAGATAAGAAAAAGTATTTCAAGTTCATGCGATCGTGTGAATATGTGCATGTGTGAGGGAGAAATTTTACTTTACGAGCGTAGATGTCGGAAAGTATGGCACCCCATCCACCATTGCTGAAACTGAGCTGAACTATTGACGATCCAAACAGCACAAAGAGAGGCCTCTTTGGTCCCACCATCTTTTTATCTTCTTGCCTGGGAATTTTTGAGCAGTTTCTGATAAATGATAATCTCTCTGTTTTTATTTCACTCTTCTCTGCATTAATCGCTGGAGAACTGAACGGTGAGAGAATGAACCAATAAACAAGAATCTTTTCCGGCCCCGCCCGATCGCTAGCAAGCACTTAGGTGGTTTGTTAGTAGAGTGGTAGAAAATGTCAAATGACCCAATACTTTGTAATTAATTATAAGTATTGGCAGACATGGCCTTAAGGTGGTCGAAACGGTTTATGTGAAATGTTAAGTTTTATCTATTTTACACAATAGACCAAAGTTGAATATTTTGCTCAATAAATATGCTTACCAATAAGTGTTAAAGAGGGGCATGGCAATTGTACGGCTTTAATGAGGGAGTTGGTAAACTTAATAAATACTTGCCATTTTTCTTTTTCTTTTTTTATTTTTAATTCTTTTTTCCTATTATCTTTTTTGGAAATTTTAATATTATATTGTCTTAACTTCCGTTTGGTAAATTTATAAACATGAATAGTAAAGATCCTACCAAATGTATAGATAATATCATAATAATGAGGAGTGATTGTTAGATATTTTTTATCATTTTACGTGTATTTATTTTTTGTTTTGCGAATGATTTGTCGTCCCGACTAGTGTTTGCCGTTGCGCAACAGGGTCGCGGGGGTCGAGGGGGCAACACCCCCGAAAGAGAATTTTATTTTCAAAAGTCTTTGAATAGGTGCATTTGTTTGTTTTTAATAGTCGCTTTCAACATATGTACGCAAGGATTTTAAGGGACACACATATTCAAATGATTGCCTCAATTTCTATAAATTCTGGGCGAATTCTCGTTTGCAAAACACATTAAAAATTATTCTTCTATTTTTCTCTTGGCATCATCAGTTCTTTTAGAGTGTCTTCTTGATTTGATCAAATAGTCACAATTTGAATCAAACGTCTCCATTGTATCTTGAGAGAGATTTTCTATCATACCCTAGTTGTGACTTCGTTGGATATGGGAGAAACATCTCTTAAAAAATAACGTTTTCGTACCTTGGAATTCATTAAGTTTTCAGATTTCCCTACATTTTTCTCAACAGTAATTATAAACGTGATTGAGATTAATATTATACTTTGACTGAATTTGTGAATTAAATCATAAATTTTATTCAAATGGAGAGTTAATAATTATTTATTTTGGTAAACCTAACAGTTTTACATGCAAGGATCGGACTTGTGTTTTGTCTATCTAATTTTTATTAATCCTCGATTTTCTTATATTCAATCTCCTTTCCCTCAGAGCTAAAATTCAATTTCATGGGTCGGTACGACAACCAACATTCGGCCTATGTCTTTATTCGAGCACCAAACGGTCCAAACCTAAGGACTACATCTGTGGTCATTAACACACCAAACCATTCAAGCATCTTAATTATTTCTTACCTTCCAACATCAATGACTTGACCGTTTGGGATAAACACTGCCAAAACATTTATATGAGTTGTTGAAAACTCGTACTAACTTTTAATAGTGAGAGTGAGACATGCTTTTAGGGACGTATATGATACCAAACTCAACATTAAAATTTATATGAATCCCATTTTTGGAAGCTTATTAAAGCTTTCCCAAATTCGGATTCGAACATTACAATGCTTTTGCACCTAGCAGTATAATTTTGGGGATACTTTTACGTGAAAATTATGAATTGAACAACTCTATATATGTAGAACAAATAATTATAGAAACAATAACTTTATTATAAAGACCAGAAATGTCCTATAAATATAAATATAAAGATATTCGTTCTAGTTTTAGAAATTACATAGTTAATCCTCGAGATTTGTTTTCAAAAACTTATTTTCCCTTTTTCTACATTTAAAGGGATAATTATATTCGCACAGTAGTTTCCCATCTCGATAACCTTGTTCGATGGTTCATTTCATAGGGGTTTTGTGAGTATATAAGAGAAAATTGACACAAATAACACTTCAATTCTAATGTAATGGACAAGCTCTCAAATTAGACTTTTTGCAATTTATTCTCCCTCCCCCATGATTTGTTCATCTTGGAGGTATAGTTACCACTTAATGCCCATGTTTCGTGTGGATGAAAATTTGTCAACAATTTATTTTAATCACATATTTTATGAGATCAACAATTTTTATACTTTTTCAATTTCATCAATTTTTATCAAAATTTAATGAAAATATGATTTTTGACTACAGCAAATAGGGGCAATTTATTAAGTACGGGTGAATACCAAATAGTAATTATATTCGTATCATAGTTTTGTTAATTGCGTCACATTGTAGTTACAACAAAATTTTCATTTTTTGCTTAATATAGTACTTATGTCTTCAAAAAAATTCATTGCATCATTATATTTAACCTTCAATTAATTACCATGTGTTGTTTATAATGATGGGTTCTTTTCAAATATTGAGTTATTGTGAAAAAAATATATTGTCAAATTTCTCAAGTTGTTGGCTATCTTGATTAATTAAAACACGAACGTCAAATAAGTCTTTTCACTCCTTCCTAATTGATTTTTTGCCACAAGATATACTAATTCATAGAAGTTTGATGATAAAAAATGATGAAAAAAAGTTGGACACACAGGTGCAAAGATGTGTAAATTTTGAGGACCTTCATCATTGATAAAATGTCATACAATTAATAAAGTGTATCTTGGGTATAACAATCATGCTGGGTACCAGAATTATTTTGACACCCCAGCTGACTTACACTCACAAGCAGGGTGGATAAGGTGCCATTTTTTACATTTTTTTTATTCACATGAAGTCCAGGCAAGTCCCATGCAAATGCGAGGGTCGATCACTTAGATAGGCAAAATTCATCTGGCACACTAATTTTATTTTGGGTATAATTACACAATGTCAAATTCACTACCTTGATACAAGTGGATTACGTAAAAATACAAAAGGAGACATCAATTGACAAATATTTAAAAAGCATTTTCATTAATTTTAAGAAAAGCAAAACACGCACTAATCCACGTTATTTAAACAATTATGGGGCCTGCGATTCTAATCTTCTCCGCGTATATAGCGCGTATTCAGAGAATTTGTGCGGTCTCTTCATTCTCATAGGAAAAGGATCGTATCAAATTTTACAAAAATATTTTTTAAAATATTGATTTTTTGAAAAAATGGAATTGCCATTCGTTAAACAAAAGTGATTGAAATTTTATCTATTGTATTTAAGTCCCTGTTTGTTTCCCATTATGTACCTATTAAAATGGAAAAGTATGATCGTTATCCATCACATCAAGTTATCATATTGGACTTTCTATCTCTTGTGTTGGGTTTGTAACGACTATATTCTTCATTCTCATTTTTACATTAATGTGTACCAAACGGTGCCTAAATTTTGTTCAATATTTGGTACAAAAACAAATGGAAATTCCGTTTGCATCTATTTTTAGTTCTTATTCATTACATAACAATAAATATGATTAAATACAAGAAAAATTTTTCAAAAATTCGTTGTGTAACACAGCTCACAAAATACTGCAGGGGAATATATGTTTGGCACGGACACGTATCACTTTTCAGTTCAATATAATAATATACAAAAGAGGAAAATTGATTCTATTTACGTTGTTTTAGTCGTACGATTTATCTTACCAAACAAATCAATATTGAAATAAAATTATATTATATAATGCAAGAAACATACTTCTCACGATGTTTTTAAATAAATTGTTAATATGATGTCAACTATACTAATTAGGTCATATATTCAATTAAATTCTTCGTTGTATGACCATTCGTATGAAGCTATGCACCATTCAATTCTGTCACCCAAAACAGTGCTTATATGGACTTCTTCTAGACTCCAAAACACATCATTAATTGGCCAACGGTCCTTTTATAAGACTTTTGTTATTGTTTTTATTTTTTATAGAAGAGTTTTCTCTAGAACTTCTTTTAATTGGATAAAATATTTTCTTAAAATTGTATATACATATTCAAAAGCAGAATATTAATCTTAGTAGTTTTTTATTTATTGAAAAATAATGCCAAACGGGCCCATTATCTATGACTATGATGAGAGCAATTTTTTAATGAAATCTAATTTGACTCAAATTTCATTTAGGCTGCTAATGTCTTTAATCTTATGACTATGTTCATAATGAAAAACGTGTTGTCATTTTGTACGAGTGATCAAAACAGTTACAAAAGATTGTTGAAAATATTAATTAGTCCCACTCATCCCATCCAAAATATTTAGCCCCTATTTGTCGTCCATTCTCTCCCATTTTTTTTCCATTTTTTTTTACAGTACTCTTTTTCAACCACACATTCTTCATTAAAATAATATTATACGTAAATAAAAAAAATTATTCTTTTGTAGCCACATATTTGAACATCAATCACTATTTCATAATACATTCTTCCCAAATAATGGACGACAAACACACCTTTAATTGCAATTATTAAGGAATGAACGAGTAGATGCAAGGATAGAGATCGGCTTGCCATTGCTCCGCCTGATTCTCAATCGCTCTTTTTAGTGGGGTAGAATAGTGCAAGAAGGGAGCTAGACCAAAGAGATCAATATTGGTTAAATCAGATAGATTTTTAGTCAGACGAATCACTTTAGCTTAGTTCGACAAAAAAAGGAAAAAAAATCCGTCCCCAAATTGTGGTCAACGTATGACATAGTATTAGATATTCGGTCACTGAAGATGGAAAAATGACTGGAAAACATCGAGATGCTTCGGCCATGGTCTAACAGTTCAACAATTAAGAAAGCGTGGGGAGTTCGATTCCTGGAAGGCGCAACTTGGAAGGCAAGATTTATCTTGGAAGACAAGTTGTTGTAAGGCAGTGAAGAGGCTCCCTTTGGAGAAGGAGTAAAAGTCGTGTGGGAACTTGAGAACCAACAAGGGCACATCCTGCGATTTACCTCTCTGAGCTGCTGAGGGGTCGGAAGTTCAGGAACAAGGATATAGTCCGGCGCAAGCTGGGACACCTCGTTAAAAAAAAAATAATAATAATATTTATATTGTAATCAGGGCGAGAAAAGTTAACAGTTCGACGAGGCGATTAAAGGGTGGTTATTAAAAAAATAATTATAAACATTGAGAAGGACAAAATGTTGCATGTGGGCACATGATTGCCCACCTTACCGCTTGATTACTCACAAACTTCCAATAATTAACATTTTCTAATCATCAATTATTAAAAGGGTGAAGAAATGTATTAATTATTACTATGCAGACATTTCTTGGCAGGACAACTAGAGAAGACGAGAGAAAATTCAAATAAATCCCCAAATTTGAACATTTTACACAAAAATGTTGAAAATTTACGGACTTCATAGATATTATTCGTCTACAAAGATGGAAGTGTTGAATAATTTAAGCCCATATTTGTTTTCCATTCTTTTTTCATTAAAATGAAAAATATGACCGTTATCCATCACATCAAGCTATCAAATTTGAATTTCTATCTCTTGTATATGGTCTATAACGACTAGATTTTTAATTCTCATTCTTAGAAAAATGAAAAACGCTCACTAAATAGAATGGGATCATATATTTTACGAAATACTAAATTAGGAGAAGCACAAATTATGTGTTTGATACAAAATATAAAACATAATTAAACAATAAATAAACATGAGTTTTATTTTATCTATTCTTTAGTAAATTTGGAATCGTACTACACTTGGAGGCCAACTTTAGTTATCAAACCAATGTTTATCTCGTTTAGTTCACGTGGACTCGTACAGGAATTTTTGGTATACAGTTAATGTATCACACTCTCAACCTTGTCTTTCATAACATCTATTCACATATGAATCACAATTATTTCAACAAGCTATATGTCTAGTGCATGAAAAATTACTTTCAATAAGAAAACTAAGCTCGATCCATGTTCGAAGCCCTTTCTTTAAAATCTCATTTTTCTTTCAAACTCATTTTGACCCCCACGTTCTTTTATAAAATAATTTTACACGTAAACCCAAATTTTTTCCCTATTTTTAAACTACACATTCTTAAAAATAAAAAATAAAAAAACCATTATTATAAAATTTATTTTCCCAAAAAAATAGGTTCAAACAAACTAACATACTCGTGACAATCTTCCACCTCGCTCAACGTTCTAAACATACAGCATTTATCCTGTCCTTCTCAATTATGTGCAATATGATACACTTTGCTTATCAAACAAGCTAATCTGAAATTTGATTCTCGTTGAGACTTTTATTTTAGAATTGCCGTTAGTCCACATGACACATACAGGTTATGGGGCGGGGGGAATTACACGACAAGCCTTCTCTATTTGACCAAATACCTCCGCGTGTAAATTTCCATGTTATTGTCCAGAAATACCGAACCTCGGCCGGCATTTAGGATTCCATCTTCTACATTTTTCCTCTTTTTTTTTAAGCCTTTTCCCCTCAATTCTCCCTTCATTTTCTCCAGATTCCAGCCCACAAAACACTCAGTTACAATTTTCCCAGCTCCCAGAAACAGATGGGATTCTCTAAATTAGAAGAGAAAACAAAGAGAATTCTAAGATGGATCAAAACTCTTTTCTTCTTGATTACCATGTTAATGTCTCTACTCTTATTCTCAGCACCAATTTTTTTAGCCATTGCCGACGCCCTTCTCCCGTCGGCCATATTATCGGCTTCTCTTTCTTCCTCAAAACTTACCCTGCAAACCCTTTCTTCGTATCTAAAAAACTACGACTTCCGGTACTCACTCATTGATATTCCTCTCATTTCCATCGTTCGATCAGCTCTTATATTATGTACGTCCTTGCCTTTTTTTATTAAACTTTTGTAACATGTTTGGTAAGGAAAATTCGATAGCACTCCGTATAAATTATCCAATTTTATGTAAGAATACGTATCAAATATGTAATTAGACTAAATTTTGTTTAATAATCATGATCTTTCTTATTTGTCAGGTGTTTATAGTTTTTGCGACGGTCCGAGACTTTCAAGAGGGCCATACTTGGGAATTGCTACAGTGTGTTCAGTTTCATCATTGGTGTTTGTATCATTGAAGGCTTCGTATGTGTTTAGCAGCAATTTGAGGATCCATGGAGGACCGCCTGATCAAGCCATGGAATTGGCTTTGTTCGTTTGCTCATTTGCTATGGCCATGGCGCATGTCGGCGCGGCGTACCGGATTAGTTGCAGAGAAAGAAGAAAGCTTCTTGTATACAAAATTGATATTGAAGCTGTAAGTCTCAAATCTCAACACATTCAATCTTTTCTGTGATTTAACTTACGGTAATTAATTGAATGATCAGGGGGCAATTCGTCTTTTTAGCAAATTTGGAAGAAAACAATGTTACACATGTTTTATCATTACATTTCAATAGCAATGAATGTCCTCAACTTTTGTTCATTCTTTTACTTATGTCCCCAACATTTTTTGTCAAATTCTTATCATCAACATTTTATTAATTTGCACATTTGTATCTAACACTGATTTTCCTCCAAAACAATTTTTAGGAGAACTTAAAAATCTTATTTGTTGAAAAAATGTTTGTCACTCATTTTAATACACTTTAAAAAGCATCATCCAAGACAAAATGTGTTAATTAATAAAATTGAGAATAAAGTGTAAAAATGAACAAATGTTAGGAACCTTTATTGCAATTTAAATGTAGTGCGAATATAATTGCCTTTTATTTATTTTTTTGTGAATTTTAAATAGTGGGTTATGGGGTGGGGGAATTTGTTTCTAGAAGACAATAACCTAACACTTTCTTAGAAATTTCAAACGTTAACAGTAAAGAGAAACTTAGGTATAATAGTCAATTTAATTTTTTATTTAATGGGCCTACGTCTTCGAAACTTAGTGGCATTCACATATTAGAACTTTCCTCCTTATTGAAAAGACAATGAATCTTCTAACGTCACAAAGTTTTTTCTTGTCTACTACGTAAACAAGTCGTAAAATTTAAAAGTCAGCATATAATTTATGTTTGTCACGTAATGAATTTCATTAGTTGAATTAAATAGAAACTGAAAAAAATGTTTGGTATGGTGTTGTCACATAATAATTCTGAGTTCGATGATATGTTTGATATGTTGAATTGAACTGTAAAGATTTAAAATATATATATATATATATATATATATGTATAATATTTAGTGGTGGACAATGACTAACATGGTGTCACATGGCCGCAGGTATCCGCATGCAAGAATGGATTTCCAAGATATCAAAAAGTAATCCAAAAAGGATTAGACAAGTGCAATTCCTAGTTTCCTTGCAGAACATGGACAGGGTTTTTTACTGGTTTATTCAAAGGTGATTTGTTGCTTGATGGTGAAGGAGTTTAGCGATACACAGGCTGTTAAAAAAAAAAAAAAGGTCCCATTTTTTTGTACTTATATATATATAAATATTTAGGTTCATTTGTACCTGTCGCAGTACAGAGGTTGGCATGGGAGTGACCACCATTTTGTGGCCCTAAAATGTCAATACATTGTTTCATTACTTGCAATGAATTCGAGAATTGCTATAGGTCTTTTATACGATTTGAAAAGAATTTATAAACGATTTAATTTACAAATATATAGAAATGAATGGTGGATAAGTTGATAGTAATTATAAATTCATTGAAGAATGAGATTGAATTTGAAGTTTGATCATTTATAGACTGATTTATAAAGTATGCCAAAAGGAGGTTACATAAATAAAAATTAATTTTATTGATGAAATAACATTGGAAATGAACTGATTCTCTTAAAATCTTTATCTTATTAAAATGATTATTGCTTATTTGGAATTACATTGTTCTAATATGTAGATTAAAAGGACAGAAATTCTATGCCTCAAGAATAGGCCATTCAATGCTTGAAACAAGGCATCAATTCTCCACTTGTATACATCACCAAGCAAGGCTGGAATTGTTTTAAATTATACTAAGAAAAATTGCAGCATCGGTGCTCAACTAGGTGATCTATAGCGAGTTAGTTTTCAATATTTTATCATTACAACCATCAATTCTTAATGATAGAAATTATTGAGTCTCGACATCATTTCTCTTGAAAACATGCCTGACTTCAAATTTCTAGTCATCGATCTAAGTTGAGTGACAAAATCTAACTTCATAAAGTTAGACATGTGAGGGTCATGTGACGATTTAATAAAGATTTAAATAATTTTTAATATTGAGAGTTGAATGTGTATAATGACACGTTGCGGACGAGTTTAATCAACAATTTGTAAAGTCAGTCACTCAGCCAGCCAGCCAGCACGTGCCAAGAAACAGGTAATAAAACAACGTAGACAGATCACACTAATTCTTCTTGAAATTGTAAGAATAATGGCCAAAAGGTTGAGAAATAATCTGACAGCCTAATGAATCAGGTCCCTTGTGACATTTTATATGTGGGAAAATTTCATAATTAAGAGTTTAAGTATTATACATTTCAAAATTAAGAAAATAAGTTTCAAATTTTAAAAATCAAATTTTTATTAAAATTTATTTATGAATTAATTATTTTATTTATTAAATATATTTAAATCTCAAATCTATACAATTTGATCACAAATTAATAATTTAATTATTTATTTATTATTTTTTGTTCACAAATCAGAAATTTAACGTCACAAATTATTTTACAATCATAGTTCAAACACTTTGTAGATTACAGCTTGTTCATTGATCACAAATCAAAAAATTAATTAGTCACGAATTAATTTTTAGTCACACTTATCAATTTATTGGTCACAAATCAAATATTTTATAAGCTACAAATTATTTTTAATCACAAATGAAAATTTTTTAAGGTCACAATTTGTTTGTTGATCACAGATAAAAAATTTATATGCTACAAGTTATTTATAGGTCACAGATTATTTTTTTTAGGTCCCACACACTATTATCTGTCACAATTTATCCTTTTTAGTGGTCACATATTGTTTATTGGTCATAGGTTAACCAATTTAATGGTCACGATCAATCAAATAATCTGTGACCACTACCACTACCTCCAATAGCACAACCGCCACCGCCTGAACCACCACCACCATCACCGACAACAACATCACTATCTCAAACAAAAAATCAACTCCAACATTATCACCGGTACCGGTACCGCTACCACCACAACCACAGCAACACCACTGTCACTGTCACCGCCACAGCAACACAATCATCACCACCACATCTCACCGTCACGACAGACCAACCATCGAACTCCACAAATCTACCACGCCGTCACCGCCACTACAATCGCAACCACCATTCCCACCTCCACACCGCACACCTCCACCTCTACGGCACAGTCCACATCACCACTCACCCACCAACCACATCGCACTGCACCGTCAATGACAGTGACAACCACAATTCCAAAACACAGATCCAAAACTCAAATCCAATCATACCTAACTACCAACCACATCGTCAACCACTAATCCAAAACCACAAATCTGGCACCACCTCGTCGCCATGCCAACACCACCTCACAACCATCAGCGGTGCCTCACTGCAGCGCGCACGGATGCAAAACCATAAATTCGGCTACGCCAGCACTGCCTCACAACCATCAGCAGCACCTCGTCGCGTGACAGCTGCAACAACGCCACCGTATACAGCCGTGGTTCTACACATGATTGTCGTGGCATCGTGCTCAACAATCGTGTGCAGCTGTGCTGTTGCCATTGCACCAGGTCGTATGCAGCTGTCATGCGGCGCATCTGAAAGAGGAGTGGTGCTGATTTCGTCGCGCTGTCGGAATTGAAAAGGGTGGGCGGCAAAGAGAAGATAGAGAAAGGAGGTGATGAAATTTTAGGGTTTGCTTGGGCAATGGGTTGAATTTTATTTATTTTATATATTATGTTTAATTAAAAAAATTCTGATTTTTGAAATGTTAAACTCTCCATCTGATTTTTGAATTCAAGATTTTAATCCTATGGTTTCCTGTAATTTCCACTTTATATAATATAAACAGGTCCGTTAGAGTGTTTCTTAGTTAAAGGGCCTTTTGAAAATGGGCCGGCCCTAAAGCGGCCCACTACAGTTGGAGGTCACATGACCCATTTACACCCTTAGTTCAACTTGATGAGTGCATATGGAACTATTAAAAAGTAAAGTCTTAGGTCCTCCAATTATTTAAATATGTAAACACACAACCTCACGTCACGAAAACTATAAACGAGGACGCTAAAATCGCATGCAAAATCGTCAAACCACTTAACACGCTGTTTTATATCATGTGAAAGCGCAAAGCGATTTTAACATTCATATTAATGGTTTCTATCACGTAGAGATTTAGTTTCACGTATTTAAATCGACCATAGAACTAAAACATTATCAATGAATGTCAAATACCAAAAATCACACTACATGAAAGGTTGAGAAATTTGTCCTATTTTTCCTAAAAAATTAATACTAATCAATTCAAGATAAACTTTAAAATTGGTCATTAAAGTATTTCCATTATCCATTTAATCATTAAAGTTAAATTATATTACATAATTGATAACTTTAATAGCCCTTAAATCTTCACATGGATATATTACAATCATTAAAACTATAGATACTTTCTGCTGGCATCATGTTTTAGCTTTATCAAATAATTATTTTTTAATAATGACAACAAACAGGGTCAGGATTAAATTGAACAATTTGAGATTTGTTGACCCTCAATGTAGTTCTACCAAGAATCGCGATTTGTTTTGAAGATATATAATTTTACGTCATTAGCACGACAATTGTTAGTCAATGTTGAGGTTTAATATGCCAACATGGCTAATAGAGCAATCAATTATCTATAATATTGTCATATTTGGACATGTTCAGTAGTGATTACGAGAATTAATTTTTTGACCGTTAGAGAATAAAGTGGATCCCACCCGTGAATGAAAAAGTCAAAAATGATGATTGAAATAGTGAAATAACGGTCAAAAAATTATTTTTATAGATGAAAAATTACTATCAAACGGGACTTAATTTGGTCTCAAAATTACTTAATGACCAATTTGAAATTTCCGAGTTAATGGTCATCAATTCATCAATTACTAGCTCAAAAAGTGCACAGGAAAAAGTGAATGAGGATTGACAAACAAATTTTAATCCAAATCAAACAGGCACCATATTTAATGCTTGTTTGGTAGAGATTTTGATAATTAATTTTTTGACCGTTAGAGATAAAGTAGGTTCTACCTGTAAGAGAAAAATTCAATAATGACGATTGAAATGGTGAAATAACAATCAAAAAATTGATTTTAATTGAATTACTAGCTATACCAAACAAGCTCTTAATTTGGTCTCAAAATTACTTAATGACCAATTTGAAATTTCAAGTTCAATGGTCATTAATTCATCAATTCCAAACTCAAAAAGTGTACACTTTATAGGAGAAAGTGAATGAGGATTCACAAACAGATTTTAATCCAAATCAGACCGGCAACATAATTAATTTGGTCTCGAAATTAATTACTGGCCAATTTGAAATTTCAAGTCCAATGGTATCAATTCTGAGCTCAAAAAGTGTACACTTTATAGGAAAAAGTGAATGACGATTGACAGACAGGCAATAACCGCACTTGGTGTGTCTGTATATACGTGTTTGAGTGCGTACCTGGCTCATGATTTGTGGTATATCCTTCCTACCTACATTTCTTGTCCCTTTGGTTCTTCAGAGGTAACTTGTGAATATTTCTTTCTGTCACATTGGATATCCATTTATTTGCTTACACCCTCAAATTATTCCAAAAAATTACTTTAATATATGTTAAAAAATATTTTATGATCGTTGACCCCTTTTCTTTGATATAGCCTTTTTCCAATTGGCTTGATTTTCACTTCTGCGTTTGAAGGAAGGTAGAGAAAGTTTCGAAGAGAAGATGGGAAGGCTATTTGTTGTAACCCTTGAAGGCAAGATCTATAGCTGTAAATACTGTGGAGTCCATCTTGCTGTCAGTGACGACATATTATCCAAGGTTCTACCTTCATCTCGTTTGATTAATAAACAGATTAATCTATTTTATTCTTGATATTTTGAATTGATGTATAATCTGGAATTGGGTTCAATTAATTTTGTTGATTCTGTTATATCTGTTCTTGGTGGGTGGTTGACTCTTTATATTTTAGAAGTTTATGATTTTTTTTATTTTTTATTTTTTCTGAATTGGACAAGTCAATTAACGATTGTAGATTTAGTGAAACTCGGTTATGATTTGGTTACACTGGATTGCATTATTTGCTTCAGGTTATATCTCAGAGAGATTATTTTTGTAACTCCTTGAATGGTCTTAGGATTTACAGGAATGGAATAGGGAGATGCATGTTAAATCTACCTATAACGGTCTTCAATTATCCAAAATAGAATTTCCTGAAAATTTATTGATGGACAATATTCAGATAAAAATCTATTTGCCTTTCCAGATGGAAGATCGGCACAGATCTAGAACTCTGATCCTCTCGTAAGATCTAATAATGAAAGTTAGGTGAATGCAAGCGGAACTTCTTTTTGGTTCTCCCTGAAAATGACCTTCCTTTTCTTAAGGATCCTGGAATTGAAATGGAATTATTTTTAAATTCAAAGAATTCTGAAAGGGAAAAGGAAATTACTTTGACTTCAATTTATGCTATCTGGGCTTTTAGATTGCAGGACTAAATTTAACCATAGCACAAATCTTGGTTTCTATCTGATGGTGGATTGATTAGTTGTGCGAAGAATGTGATATCCTAAATTGAGCACAATGGACAAACTGTGGTGTATTTTCGTATAACATCTAGTAGGGAGCCTAAGAGCCTTGACATTTGACTGCACTTGAATGGATAGATCTATGCTGCATCAGTGCGTGTCAAGCATGATCTGCTGGACTTACCGTCAAAAAGTTTTAAAAATGTATAAATATTTATGTGTGCTTGGGATAGTGTATACAATTCAGATCTGCAATCCTCCTCAATCGTCATTTTATTTTCTTGATTAGAATTGTTCCATATGCTGTTTCTTGCATCGTCTATCAAATATGCTGCTGATGACCTTCATTAGTATCATGCATGAGATTACATTCCTGACAGATGTTGTGATTTTTGAAATTTGTTTTTCTGAATCCATTTCAACAGATACAGTTTTCACGACATCATGTATACTTGTATGCATGTCCACACTTCTGTTTTGGAATGTATCAAACTTTTTACAAGTATTTGATATGTATACCCGCGAAGGGTCCGTGTTGATCTGGAGGAAATATCATTGTATACTAAGTTACTTATGCTCGATGGAATTGGGTGCCAATCCGTGTCCAAATGTCATATTTGTTAAACCTCTAAGTCTTGGGTTGTGGGCATAGCAAATTATGAATATTCTAATACTTATTTCTTTATTTCTATGATAAATTGATGTCCAATATAATCCAAAACTAAAGAAAATGCCCTTCTAAACGCATTTGTAAACAAACTAAATGATTTTGGTGCTTCCTAAATTTATTATCAATGCAAAACATAAGATAAGTGTTGTATACCCTTATCGGAGTGTCATGCTTACGGTAACGGCATTTCTTGCATTTAGAAGATTGGGAGTAACAAGTTGCATAACAATCAAGATTTTCATGTTATCTTAATGACATAGAGCATTTTTGTTTTATATCCCCTTTTTCTATTGTAATTAACATACAATATTCAAAGTTCTTCTTATCCCTGTTCTATTACTTGTCAAAATGAGTATTTTTTCCCCTGCACTCTGAGAAACCTAGTAGGAAGCAAATCATTTGACTCTGTTTCTTTGTGGTCTTTGCTTCAGTCTTTCCACTGCAGATACGGAAGGGCTTATCTCTTCAGTAAGGTGTAAGTTTTTCTTGATGTTGGGCCTCTTTTTACCGTATTTTGAGAACAAATGGTGGAAACATGCATATAGCTGTTTACAATCTTACAGTTACTGAAGGCAACATATACTGAAAGACTCCTTCGCCCCTCCCAAAACCACCACACACACCAATAGTTATTCTTTTGCGTAGGGGGCTGTTGTAAGGAAATGGAGGAAGGATGGAAGATTTGCTCAAGAAGATACAAATTTGATTCTATCATTAGAACATAATTCTGGTCCATATAAGAAGAAACACGAGTTGTGATGGAAGTCCCCCCGCTTTTTCGGACTGATCCTGTGTTAATTTTACCTAGACCTACTACTTGTATTTTATTCAATTGCTAAGTTATGACAAAATCTTAAAACTAATAAAGAAGAAAATGCAGAGAGTGTGGAAGGGGGTCTCTGACTAGCTTGGTATGTTGTCCTATCTCAAATCTCCATACTGTCATGCTGGCTGTAAAAATTGAAATATTATTTCCATTTCATGTTTCTCCTAACGCGCTTCTGTTTATAAGAGTGAGACAATGCAATAGAATATGATAGATGAGAGGGGGATATTCGAAAATAATATGATGAGTTTTATTAGTTGTTTAGAATAAATAGGATTTCATTTCTAATAATATCGGGAAAATGTTATAGTTATATGTTATTCTTTCTTCATATGCATTACTTTTGTTTATAGTGTGTTTTAATTTATTACCCTAAGAACTTTTATAAGGTTTTTAAGTCTTCTTTGTGTTTGTAGTGTGTATCAAGTCTCATATTCTGCTTTGAGAATTTGAAGAACCCATTTTCTTTTGTGATCCACGTTTGCTTTAGACATTGTTTGTGATCAAACCCTGAAATATTGGGCGGATAATCTCGTTTTGATCCATTTTTGTTCCACTGAGCGAACAGACACATGAATATGGTTCAGATTGTAGTTACCAAAAGGGTCACCTCCAGGATGTAAGAGAGCATAACTTGTGCATATCAATTGCATGCTTTTTTGCACATTTTTAAGCTTTTATTCCCGCCATTTTGTTCACATCTATGCACAAGCACAGACACTAGAGAGAAGAAAGAGAGAACATTTACCAAACGTGACAAGCTAGAAAGAGAGAGGATATGACATTCACATTTGTATTTATTCGACTACAGCATTCACATTTGTATTTATTCGACTACAGCAAATGGGGAAAAAAGAGAGAGAGATAGAATGCTCTCATTTGGATTCTGTTTTATCCATCTGCATGGTGTATGTTACATTTTCTTTTCTTTTACAGAGCTAATGTCACTGTCGGAGAGACAGAAGAAAGAATGATGACAACTGGAAAGCACATAGTTGCAGATATTTTCTGTGTACAGTGCGGTTCAAACGTTGGGTGGAAATATGTAAGATCCGTTTAGCCAGACGAGATTATTATGTCCAGTGTTGGGTCATTAATTATTGTGGTTGCTTATTTTCAGGAAACAGCTCATGAAAAGAGTCAAAAGTACAAGGAAGGAAAATCTGTCCTCGAGAGGTCTGTTAATTACTTGATTGTAGTATTTAAAACCTGCTACAATCAGTTTCATAATATTGAGATCCCTTCTTTTGTCGAACAGGTTTAAGATTTTGGGTCCAGATGGAAGCAATTACTTGGTGAGCCATGAAGCACACATTGGAGGTAGTGACGCTGATGATGCTTGATTAACCCTTAATATCTCCAGTTTTAATTGTACATTCTTTCAAACTCCCCTACCCCAGCAAACAGAAGCCATCCTCCTTCTTATTGAACTGCTGAATTCATGGAATTGTAATTTGAAAGCTGTGAAAAAGCTTGCTTATTCTCAAGTATCAACACTTCCATTGTAAATATTCAATAATTTATTCAAACAAAATGTAACTCCGTAATCTGTTATTGTTACATATAACGGAGTTGATGCTATGAATTCTTGGGTTTTTTTAGCAGGTTTGATCTGTTTTATTTGCATTTGACACCTTTGTTTGTACCATGCTAAATGTTACCATACTGTTGGAAATTGTTTCGTTATTCATCTGATCATAAAACTTATATTCGGATATTTTTTACGTAGAATGCAGTATCTTTTATGGAGTTCTCGTTTTTATCTAGTCTCAACAGGCTCGATGGTGTGAGAAGATCTCGTGCAGGAAGGTCAGCTAGAGATTATATTTTTTTGTTGAAGGGGGCAATGAGAATGTTTGTCTTTTTTATGAACATATTTGCTCATCAAGTCAACAAAATGTTGGAAGTACAACTTCGTGCTTTTAGGGCACCATTTCTTAATAACAAAGGAAATAGCCATTAATACAAAATTAAGATTCATTTCTTGTCATGCACTTTGTGCTTCCAAGAATGCATTGAAATTCTCCCTTGCCTTTGCGAGCCGAGGAGTAATGCAAGAAGTTGGTGAATCTGGATACGATGTAGAATAACGAACATGACGTGCGGATTCATGCGATTTCCCATGTTGCATTTTAGATGATGATGTAGTGTTTTTAAGAACCCCTTTTCGATCATTATCGAACAAGAAAGCCGCTGTCATCGGCGAATCTGTATCGTTTGTGTTGCATCTCATTAGCTCCATTGGCAAATCAAAGAAAAAATTCGATGAATCTCCATCATCGTCGTTGAGAATCGCCGATGAAGTCCATGACCCACATTCGAATTTCTCGAGGGATACTCTCTTGGAAACTATATGCGGTTCCTCTTGATCCGTTTTGGATTTTACTAGTTTTCCCTTGTTACCAAATCTTGGAATGAACAAACATAGAACTCCACATCTGAACTTATCTTCTATCGTATCATCGATGTTATTCTTGACAATTTTGGGATCGGTTTTGTAATTGCCATTGATTTTAGTCAACCAAAGATCCAACTCATCCGATTGTTGCGATGCCCGGTTTTCGCTACACGACTTACTCCGTCGCAAGTAGTTTTCACGTAGACGTTCTAGATTACTAATTGCGACGGAATGTTGCCTGGCCAATGGATTAACAGAAAGAGGAGACAGTCGGCCTTGATTTCTCCGAGGTTTTTTCTTGGGGAGAAATCGCGGTGACGAAGAAGCCGAATTTGGGAGGCTGTAGCTCAAGAATTTACTCGATGGTGGAAGTGGAAGAGGCATGACTAATTGCGTATTCCCTGATTCTTGTAGGGAAATTGGATCAACAGAAATCTGCTTCTCTCTCTCCTTTTTGTCCAAGAATTTAGTTGTATCCATGGAAACACACAAACTCTAAAATCCTGGATACTCACAGAATTGTATTGACGTTTTTTATATGAGAAATGGTACCCTGCATAAGTCACACAACGTGGATTCAATATCTAGTTGTGATTGCCATGTTCTTCTTCTCCTTAATATAAAAAAATTTGGGACTAAAATAAAATGGGGCATAGTATTGCTACCCCACTCCCTCTACCAAAATATCTAAGAAAATGTTAAGAGTTTACTCTCTATTATTGTCCCATAGTCAAATAGATCGGTGCTAAGAATCATTGATGCCATATGGGATTACTCTTTTTATTAATACTTGAAAATTTTAGGGACTTCAGAGCGTGATTAATCACTCAGAAAGTTGGTAAATTCATTGACTGAGCTTAGTTAATTTTGAAATGATAGATAATGGTTCAAGTCATTAGACGCTATTATTAATGTACAAGTTTTCGATCATGTATGAGATAATTTTTTGCAAGAAAACTTGAAAAGGGGATAATTTGCTAAAAATTTAAATAATAATTACAGTGCTATTGCATCTGACTACCTGTGTCGTCAAGATCGGGTACAAGCACATCTGGAACAGCAAGTTCAACTTTTAGATGCAAAAACATCCACACCTTTTGAGCTCTTTACAAGTACGGTGTTCTAACTCTAATACGACTCAATCAGTACAAGCCGAAGCGATATCCGTAGAAGGGAGTGGGAGTGCCATCGCTCGTGCGCCATACAATGTATATGTTCTTGTGTAGATTTCTTCTCTTATTCATTCTCAAGATAAGACTTGTTTGTCCATTTTCTATTGTACATAAATTTTTATTGATATAGATAGAATATGGCCGATGCCAACTCTAAATCGACTATAAATTCTTCCCACATGGAGGCTTAAAAGGGGGAAAGGCTTGTATATAATTAGCGTGGAAAACAAAACCACATGTGAATTAATTCGTCATTGTCAGTTGAATGAGTCTTTCTCCAGACGTGTATTTTAAGTAAATAATAAGTGACAAGTAAAAGCATGTACTTATAAGTTTTAAAATAAATATTCTAATTGGTAACAGTTAAAAACAAGTATGATATTTAATTTAACTAAAAATAAGAGTTACTTTTGAAGGGGAATACAAGGTAATTGTCCACCCATATTCGCTTGATATGCACACACTGCAATGGGCTTCTTGTTGGAAAAAATAGTAAATGGCTCACTTTTGGCAAAATTTTCAGTGGGACACGTTGGTCCAATTTGGAAGATCAAAGTTGATCCGTATTCTCCTCCGTGAGAGCATCAAAATCATATATTTACTTGCCAAAAATAAAACTTGGGTGAATGAGAAATTGAAGTTCAAAAATGACCATTGAAAGATGATTTATGTAGAAAAAATGAGTTTAGTCACACAAAGGAAAAATATGAAAGCAAGAACCACTTTAAATATGGCTATACATTGGAAATGTGTAATCATGTGTAGCATAGAAGCTCTCTCCACGTACGTGTGCGGGGGGTACAAATCTCGGACCAAAATTGCTTTCGGACCTTAAACTTATGTGCAGGGCAACCTGCGTATACGAATGACGGACAGAATAAAGCAAAAAATTGGCCCCTTTGGAGAGCCCATGTTTTGCAATTTTTTTCAGTAAGGTCGTGGTGATATTCACTACTAAAAAATAGAGTTTCGGGCATGAATTTTCTATTCCTAAAATCTCAATATCCGTTGCTAATAATCTTCACCAACAGAATATTTGCAACCACAAATCCGTTGATAATTTGAGGGTCACTGATAGTTACTAACGAATCATGCCGTAAGTAAAGAGTAAACATTTTACCAACGGATTTTCCGTTAGTAAAGTGTGAATCTTTTACCAACAAAATTTTCGTTGGTAAAAGTCTTAACCAATACCAACTGACCTTTTGTTGGTAAATGTCTACCATTACAATTGGTAAAAATTAATATTGTAAATAATCGTATGGTAAAAAAGTTATTTATTTATTTTTTATTATTGTTGTTGTTATTATTATTATTTAATAATTATAATATTTTTTTATTTTTAGCCAACTGAATTGAAAGACCAAAATATTGTTTAACTCCTTATTGAACCACAAATTTATAGAGGGCAACTATAAAGATATTGTTGTAAACTTTCGATGTGGGATAAGTGAATTATTTTTACCAACGAATAATCCATTTCTCATTACCAACGGAATTACCGTTGCTGAAAGATCAAAGTGTTAAACGGTTATATTAGGCATAGAATATCCGTTGGTAAAGAGATATCATTTTTACTAACGGATAGTCAGTTTCTAATTATCAACGGAATATCCGTAGGCAAAAGATCAAAATGTTAAACAATTATATTAGGCACGGAATATCCATTGGTAAAGAGATATCATCTTTACCAACGAAAAATCCGTTGTTGATTATCGTAGCTAAAAGTGAATTACTTTTACCAACGAATAATCCGTTTCTAATTACCCACGGATTGCTTGGTAATATTCGGTACATCACCTACAGAATATCCGTTGGAGGAAGATCCAAATGTTAAACTATTATATTAGGCACGAAATATCGGTTGGTAAAGAGATATCATCTTTACCAACAGAAAATTCGTTGCTCATTATCGTAGCTAAGAAATTGAAAGTTACATATTTTCTGTTTGAGAGTGTTTAATTCGGGGGTTTTTTGCTCTATGTCTTTCCTTCATTTTATATTCCCTGGATGATCTCTTCGTGATCAACCGCTTAAAAATTGATTGATCGCTCTATAACTGCCCACTTTCCTTGTAGTGGCCAACTTGTCATGAAACTGTCTTCTCTAACTGCTGCTATTACGTTTGTTGTTCAACCGTTTTCAATAGAATTCCTTGAATTATGGAACGTGATAGGACTACCCAATAACTGCTTTATTAACTGCACTTTTTGGGTAACCATAACATCTTATGTTTACTAAAATGTTGGGCGACTCGAATGTTTGGAAGAGAGCAGGGTCATAGCTCTGGGCAACTGCATGACAATTCATTCGCTCAAATTTTGGGCGATTGTATTACCGCATTCATGGGCTTCCCTATTTGGGCCTTTATTCTACATTGCCTGATTGGGTCGTTCTTTTGGACTATTTGATTTTGGGGATCTTCCAATTGGGCTTCATTCCTTAGGCTATTCGACTTGGGCTGAACTTTTTGTGTGTCAACAATTACCCCCCAATATGGCAGAATTAATGCCAATTATTAATTTTTTGTCATATTCACTTTGTGTTTCCCAGCAACATTTGAAATTCTCAAGAATTTCAATCATTGTTTTCTTCCATAGCCTGAAAAGGTGCGACGTTTGCAAACCCTTATAAATCTCCAAATATGCTATTTCATTGCACCAGCAAATCACGCCTCATTTTTTCGCGCCTCTCTCGCAATATTACTGTTCATCTCCTTGCTTCTCTGTTACGTAACTCTGAAAAACTCTATTTCGTCCCTAATGGCTGCTTCACTATCCCAATCTGGTGACTCTTTCAGTTTCGAAGACTTTCAGAAACTCCTTACTCGGCCATATATAACTCCGGACTTCCTAGCACCTGCCAATGTCAAACTCAATGAGTTCTATCTAGGTCCTTTATTCAACAATGCCGAGGCCATCGAACAAGCGACGGTCGGTCAGCTGTTCCCTTGTACTCAGGGCCCTCCGTTTCTAAATTCTTTGCCGTTGGGGCCACTTCGCGAAAGAGGTATTCGTACTTGACCTAAATCTGATGTCGTTTTTCGTAGATGGCATGCTCGCCTTGTGGACCATGGTCCTACTAAGGCAATTTTTGATAATGCTAGGATTTCTGATTTGTTAGAAATCTCTCTTCAACCCCCTATTTTTGACCAATAACTTTTTCCAATCGCTTTAAGTTTTTGGTCTTTTGAGTATAATACTTTTGTTTTTCCTCTTGATCCCATGTCTATTACCTTAAGGGATGTTGGGGGCCCTAGTAAATCTGTCACCTTTGAGCGATACCATTTTCCCTGGTATTTTGATTTCTAGTGTCGCCCCAAAATTTGATAAAGGCCTCACCGAGTCTTATTCAAGCCTGCAAACCCTTCATAACCACTCGAGCGCTGAGCCTTTCCATACTGAGAGAGTGGCATTTCTTCTGATTTGGCTTTATAAATACATTTTGTGTGTGCCAAGCATAAAGTCCTCCTTGAGCTATTTACCCATAGCCCACGAATTGGCGCGTGGTATGCCTCTGAATTTATGTTCTTTTTTTTTTAGCTATCATCTATAGAGGCATGACTTCTTTTCAATCCCAATTGAAAAATGGTGCATCTCCCACTGGCAGTGGGCCTCTTTGGTTTGTTCAAATGTGGTTAAGAGTCTATTTTCCATCGCTCGGTGCTCCATCTTTTTCCAATCTTTCTGCTAGCTGCTATGGGCTAACCATTGAGCTCCTGACTCCTGTAAATATGTTCAGAAGGGATATTTTTTCATTCTTTTATACTTTGGATTCAATCCTTTCCTTCTTTCCTTTTCCTCCTTTTTTGACTCTAGATTATGTGCAACCTCCATCCACTCTGGATAGTGCGAACGCTTCCTTGTTTGTTTGGATTTAGTTTTTGACCGGGAGGGAGTTGTTTCATGATATTTTGACCGGGACCAATGCCAAGGCTGGGGTAGAAATATATGCTCCCCAATTTTTTGCTCATCAATTTAGTTTTGGCCAAACTTGGCCCGTTCCCCCTTACTATTCAAAGAATTTGATAGATCGTTTCCACACCATTAATAAGGCAGAGGCAGAGGCTATAAATGCTCGCAATCTTCTTTTGACGAGCAACTTTTCATTAGCCCCCTTCAATCCTAGCCATGTCATCCATCCCCTTTTTGAACGATTCTGGCCGTCAGTGAAGCGCAGATTGTTTTCGACTGATGCCAATCGTGCTTTTCATTCACTAGACCAGCTAAACATTTCTTCCACCTCTCCTATTTTGGTCACTCCTGTGTCCATTAGGAGTCCCTCTTCCTCTGCTCGTGTTAAACAATCTGCCCGTCCATCGACTTCTCTTCCTGCCAAGTCCACTGCAGTTAAAAGTGCCCCTAGCTGCAAACAGCCAGCCTCAGCGTCTCCCATCTTGGAGGATGATGCTGATGCT